AATATAATATAATATAATATAATATAATATAATATAAAATGCCCTAGCTTAAAACCTGATACTGCTACCTTTGGCTTTTATAATTGAAGATACAAACTATAGGCCCAAGGTCAATGTTAGTCATTTATTCGCATTAACTTAGGGTTGTTGTCATTGGTGGTCATAGCTAACTAAAATAAAAAAGTTAGCTTAACTAATCCATGTTCCTTTAACTTAAGATGACCAGATCTCTGAAATACTCGTGACATTTCCAGCTCAAAGATAAAATAAAATATATATACCGGTAATCAAAATTAAATTAGGAAACTGGGACAGTGATGCGTTAATCTATTTTTACATATTTATTAATATTTAAACAACAAAAATCCAGTGTAAAATCCAGGAATGTGCCTTTCAATACTGTTAGTATTTACTAAAATAAATAAAATATATAAATCAATAGTGTTGTTGATAGTTTTTATTAGTGCCGTCTGGTCATTCAGTCTTCTGTCTTATTCCCTCTCCATCTTCTTTTCTTTCTAGCTCTCTTCTGACTTCTGCCTGCTCTCTGTTTAACTCTTCTGAGTAGATTTTTCTTCCCTCTCCTCTCCACTCTCATTCAATCTTCTTTCTATCAGTCTTCTAATTTTCTTCCTCTCCTCTTCTATCATTCTTACACTAATATAAAACAGAGACATAAAACAATCAAGAGCCCTCCCAAACACATTAGTATGTACAACATGAAAACATACAATTTAAAAGTTAAAATAAGATTCTTGTTTCACACACCTGTTGGAAGTTGGTAATTTTTAGATGAAATACTGGGGTTATTCGGGTGTAGCAACAAAATCTGTGACCCCTCAAACATAATTACCCGAGGAGGAGGTACATGTATCTGACAATAGACTACTTTAGGTTTAGGTGTGAATCCAGTGAAGTTAGGGTTAGTAGATAGAAGACTTGTGAGGATACTCCATTACAGAAGACACAGTTTATGACGGGTCACAGATTTTGTTGTAACACTGTTATAATCTCATTACATATATTATGATTATGATGATTATTATTACTAAAAAGGGTTATCACCACAATATTTGGAGTTACAAGTAAAAATAACATGATAAATGAACATTGCACATGTGGTTATCTCCATCATTCTCAGATCATGCAGATCTTTTCTCATATATCTCATATATCCGATATGAGTGATAGAAAAGTAGACCTAAGCCTGGAAGTCTATGCTCATAAATTGCACTCGTAAAACAGCAGAAAGAAACGTGTAACTTTACTTACAATAACTTAGTATCTGAAGATATAAAGTAAAGGTCACCAAATCAGTTCTAAAAACTTCTTTAGGCGAACCCTTCTTGATCCCTGGAGAACTTGCAATGTGTTTTCGATCAATCTTTTCAATTCAATTTGAGTCTATTTACTTATGCCAGCTGCAGCCAATGATCTGTCTGGCTTAGATGATGTTACCAGTTGCAACAATAAACTTCCACTTTTTTCTATTCTGTTTTAGAAGTGGTACGCTCTGCTCCTCATCTTTACGTTAACAGCTGCCATCCCGCTACTTAACAGCTGTTTCTGGATGCAGCATGCTCACGCGTTCTTTCTACCAAAATGAAAGTTTACACGCAACATTTCACCCCTCGTTCATAAAACTGTAAAATCTGGGACATTTCCATGGATAGGTTTAGCCAGGGAGAAGTGGTCCAAAACGGGGACGTCCGCGGAAATTTGGGACGTCTGGTCACCGTACTTTAATTAAAATATGAGCTTTGCTAAAGAGGTGTATAAATATAGTGGTAGCTAATGCTGACCTACAACCGCTAAGACAACCGTCAGCCAGGATCAGCAGATATGACTTTTTAAGACCCAACTATGACATAAAAGTTCCCCACCTCAATAAAAATCTTCCTGAAATGTATGCTAAGACACAACAATTCCACACAATAACAGATCTTAGACAAACAAAGCCATTAACACAAAGTGAAGTGTTTGCACCGACAGACTCTCAGCAAAGTATGCAATCAGGCAACCAAATGACCAATGCACAGCAAATGATTTCCTAAAACATGGCGTTAGAGCAGCCACAAATAAGTTTCCTGATACCAACATCTTCTCATAGGAAACACCAGTAGTAGTACATGGGGCATGCCTAATGGAGACAATCCCACAAAAGACTAGAGCAAACTTTTTACTTCAATTAGTGGAATTAAGGTTAGCGAAACCTAATTTAGCAAAAGCTAAAAAAAAAAATAAAAAAAATGCACTACTGATATTCAGAGTTGGTGAAAATGCTCATCTGCTACAGAGAAAGTAAGTATGGCTATTAGCTGTTGCTATATTAGTTAATCTGTGTCCACCTCTGGCTGCTTTTAAGTCAATTTTATTGTTCTGTTTTATCATTAATGTGAACTTATTTGAAATATTTCAATCAGTTACCTGCATGAATTCTTAGTTATCTGGGTCATGGCAACCACAAAACAGGCTTAAATTTGAAGGCAACTGGACTAAGGTGCGCTCTAGTAGGTTCTTAATTTTCATTGCAATGATGCTTTGTTGCTGTCACCAGCTTGTTGTTATTCTAGCAGAAAAGTGCAAATGTAATATGGGTAATTCTGGTGCAGAGGGTCACACATTGTAAAGACCTTCCTCCTGTGCTGTGATTGGTCTGGCCAGATCTGGAGTCAATGGCAGTTTGCAAGACTAATTTACTCTCAGTATAATTCAGTCTGATTGGCCAGGCTAGTTAAGATA